AGTATATGTGAACTGCTGTATGAAAAGTGAATTTACTCTGTAAATCTTCACCCAAATCCTAATAAAAAAAAAAAAGAAAAAGGACTAAATGACTGAAAAACAACAGAAAAACCTTAGTGACTCAGTGACCTTCTTGGGTTCTCATTTGTTCTCCTATATGTCGTGTAGATACTGGGGGGGGGGGGGGACAAAAACCTTATTGCAGTCAAGTCAGATCTGACTCATAGCAACCCCTCCTTGGATTTCCGGGGCAGTATTGGATATTAGAGAAGGCTGCTATTTCTGTAGACTAGAAATAGCAGTGGGAACAGAGAAGAGAAGAGCCCCCGAGATAAGCCAAGTCAAATAACTGGGAAAGGGGCAGCCTAACAAGACAGAAAACTTTTGACTATCTCATTCCTACTGCAGTCAAAGAACGGTGCAATCCCTCAACTCAGCAAAGGACAAATAGGGAGCCTGAACTTTTACTCCTGCCAGGTGGTAATGAGGTACCCCTCCCTCCTCTCCAGGTAGTGTCTTTGGAGGCTGAGTGGAGATCCTGAATTTCCATACCACCTAGTAATAATGAGGTGGTTCCTTCTTTTCCCCCCAACTATTTCAGGGTCAGAGGAGGCCTGCTAAAGCAGAGGATTTATACAAGGTCAAGAGTCTCAGAACATAATGTTCAAAACATCCAGAATCCATAAAAGATCACTCATCACACCAGGAAAATCTCAACTTGCATGAGAAAAGACTATCAATCAACAAATGCCAATATTGATATGACACAGTTGTTAAAATCACCTGCCAGCCAAGCAACCTTTTCTGTCCCCAGTTTTTGCTAACTGCTCTCTCCTCTTGTCCTAAAGATGGTAACCACTACCTATTACCAGCTCTATGGCAATGTACTATCCCTTGTGATTTCACTATATTTGTCCACATTTTTATAAATAGCTCCTTTATTAAATTCTACCCAAATTATCCAATTAGAGTATACTGTCTATTTCCTGCAAGACTTATGGATAAGGCCTGACTAATGTATGGTTCCTTGAAACGACTAATACGATAAACTCTGGACAGAAGAAATAATAAACAATATTAGGAATGAAAAGGAGAAAGAATACAGATATAACATGCATTTTTAAAAATACTCATAATGAACAACTTTATGCCACTAAATTTGAAACCTTACAAGAAATGGACAAATTCCTATAAGACATAGAACGTAAAAAAAAGCCTCAAGAAGAAATTGAAGTTTGGAATAGATCAACCATTAAGAAACTGAACCAATGGTTTAAAAATCTACCCATAAAAGGGGGACAGTCCTTAGATGTTTTATTCAGCAAATATAAACATTTTAAATGCATTTTAAAAAATCCAATTCAACAATCCTGTTTACCTGTCTGTACTTCTTACTCTACAGTAAACTCTTAAGAGGCCATGAATGGTATCTGCCATATTCACTGCTGTACTTCAAAGTCTATCACAAGGCCTGGTTAAACTATAGCAACAAGCTAGAAAGTCTAGGGAACATGTGAGACTTCAGACAAGGGTAGGTAACATTCACAAAAGCCACAAGGTCCCCAGTGAAATTTTAAACGGCCGCAGTAGGGCTGTAGTCTTGAAGACCTATCCCTAGTATACCTGCTTTGGTATTATTTGGTACAGAAAGTCCCTTAAGAATGAAAATCTTCATGTAGCCAATGGCTTTTCCTAAGACTTGGTCTTACAGCGACTGAATAAATAAATAACTTCTGAAATATGACAATTCACCATTTGGTCCTTTCGTTAAAATGCCAAAGAAACTTATCAAGAACTTCTTGAGAGAAACAACTGAATAACGTTACCAAAAAGGCTGGCAGCTAATTCAGATCCTTGAAGTTATTTAGTAATTTTCAAGCTACTTAACTTCCCCTCCCCCCAATACTCGTAGGGTTCTGTCCTATTGAAAATCTTTTGAAACAAATACTTTCTTTTAGAGATACCAAGAATTACAGTCCTGTAACCATAAAAATAAAGCCTTGACTTGCATTTTGATATGGAGAAATCAGCTTAGTTTTCATTTTTATTTAGATGGGTTTCAGCTGAACACAGCATGGAGGTACAGAAATCGGATCACTTAGGGGTTAGATGAGGCTCAGATGGGTCTTAGGTTTTGACTCCCAGCAGCTTGTTTACGTTGGTTTTTGTTTCCTGCACTTCTGGACCAGTTTTCCATTAGAGCAGCCAAGAAGATAGAAGATTGTGTAACTTGTACAAAAGTACTTTTACTTTGAAGATCTGGCTTGTACATTCATATGGAGTCATTCATCAATTAGACCAGGGTAGCCAACTTAAGCTCACAGGACCCAGTCAAGGCCAAGCATTACCAGGTGACACATAGGGATTCACAACTGCACTGCCCTGAAGCACCAAATAACTTGGTTGCTAGGGTCCACCTGGGGCTTTCTTATCCAATTTTGTTGGAGCAAAGCTTGGGGACTAAATTTTATACAATTTCACAAAGTTCCTTTGAAGGGTGAGGAAAATAAGGATCCTCTTTTTAAATACCTACCTTCAAATTAAGCATTGCCACCCTAATTTACAGTCCTGTCCTGGCATCCCTTTGAAATAAATTGTACTCACAGACTTGCATGGTTAGATATGCAGCTTCTTTCACTTTCTCTTTCAAGAATTTTCTATGTCAACAGATAATGTTCTTGTGCTTCTACCAAGACTCAGTGATTGAAGGGTGCTGGCCCTTTAATAGGGGAGCAGGGGAGGGGCTGGGACTTTTAAAGGCAAAGGCAGCAAACAGGCTCTAACCCTGGTCTGCCATGGCTAAACTAAGCCTCAAGGACAGCAGCAGTAAAGCGGTGGGTATCCGCGACAAGGTGGTTTATGAAATTCTGTCACTGTGCACAGATGGTGGCTGGAAATACATATGTGAGAGATCCTTCTCCTCCAGCTCCTAGTCTTGTCCCTCATTTCTGCCCTTTGCAGCACCTTTCCCTGGAATTGGGCTAGCGAGGTTGGAGGATGGGGCTTTATGGCAATATGAGAGCATGGGGTCTCACTCTTTGAGACCCTGGGCTAACATTTTGCTGAGTAGGGGGGTTTCTGTGAGTATCTTCCTTGCCCCAGGTTTACCTTCCAGAGGCTGACAGTGCTCTCACACTGGAAGAAACAGTCATGGAGGATGTCCAACAGCCTGCCAAGATGAAATGCCTTGAAGGTATCACCAAATTTGTGAGCTGGGGACTTGCTGGCCTGGTTCAATGAATGGACATGGAATTGGATGTTCGTGTGTAGACAGCTGAGAATGATTCCAAATTCTTCGACTTGCTAGCTACATCAGTTTTCCGGGCTTTATTTTCCTTATCTATATACCGAAGTTATTGGTACAGCTTCGTAAGGTTGTTGTGAGAGTTAAATGAAGTAAAACATGTAAAGATTCTGGCACACAGTAGGGTAAATTGTAGTAAGTCAGTACAAGTGGAACTTGGTCAATTAAAAAGGCAATTGAAAGGATTGTTCAAGTTCCAGTCTCACATGCATGCAAAAGCTGGATAATAAGGAAGAGTGAAGAAGAGTTGATGTCTTTGAATTATAGTGTTGGCAAAAAATATTAAATATACCATGGACTGCCAGAAGAACAAACAAATCTATCTTGGAAGAAGTACAGCCAGAATACTCCTTAGAAGCAAGTATAGTGAGACTTTGTCTCATGTACTTTGGACACGTAATCAGGAAGGACCAGTCCCTGGAAAAGAACCTCATGCTTGTTAAAGTGGAGGGTCTGTGGAAAAAGAGAAAGACTCAACAAGATTGACACTATGCCTGCAACAATTAGCTCAAACATAGCAGTGATTGTGAGGATGGCTCAGGACCAGGCAATGTTTTGTTCTATTATATGTAGGGTTGTTACAAGTCAGAACCAACTTGACAGCACCCAACACTAATAAAGGACTAGGCGAGGTGATGAGGCATCTGATGAGGGGATGTAGAAAGGTGTTTGGTCCTGCCACATTTTGTGTGCTCTAGTGGGAGATAGTTCAGGCATCCTAAGGAAGAGAAGCTGAGTCAAACCCATAGAACAGGAGGTGTTGTTTGAAGATGGTGCTGGAGCTGGCTTATGAACCAAAGTGCTACTGAGAAGCCAGCTTCTCTCTGCAATTCCTCACACATGAACCCCCATCTTCTTCACAGGCCCACACTTAAAAAACCAAGAACCAGGCAAGCCCTGTGGCCTCCTGAGTCCTGAGGAGGAGCTTGTACTTACCTCCCGATTGGAGAAGGAGGAGGAGGAGGAAGAGAATGAGGAGGAAGGAGAAGAGGAGGAGGAGATTGATTTGGATCCAGATCAGTCCCCTGACCTGGAGGAGGAAGAGAATGATCTCAGGGATCCAGCTGTGCTCAATGCTGTCCACAACATCCAGGTGCACCATGTTGGTAGGGAGGGCAGTGGTGGGTGGGGGAGTTCTGAACTGCCTGTTGTTCACTGACTGTTGCTAATGTTCCCTTTCTTCTCTACCACTTTCTCAAGACAGGTTCTGGATGAATAACTTTCAAGTTTGAATTTGAGTAGTGACTATCGCCTGCCTTCCCTCATTCCTCCTGTCTCTCACTTAGTTTCTGATGCTGTCTTTCCCTTAAAACTAGGCCCTAGCAGGGATCTGCATGGACCACATGTGGTGACCCTGCTACTTGGTGCTGAAAGTAGGACATTCCTGCCTGACCCTGGTCACCCTGTATCTCAAGATTCCATTCTTGGTATTTGCTCCTTTGGATTTCTACAGCTAGTGGAAAGAACCAAGGACTTGTAGTTAATGAGGTGACTCAGACCCTCCTTCAAACTATTTCTGAAATATACTGGCCTTTCTTCCTCTCAGAGGAAGGAAAGGGGCCTTGGCCCAGTTGATTTTGAATATGAGAGAGGGTTAGGTTGCAGCTGTCCTGGATATTGGAAATGGCTGGCCTAGCCGCCTCTCCACTCCTCCACAGACACAGGTGTATGTAGAAGATACCACTGGGGCCCATTCCAGACTGGGTTTCCCTTCCTCTGATTTCAGAGAGGACTTCTTGGCTCCTCTAGAATCAAGGCCCTTGATGTGCTGGGGACATCATCTGCTTCGTTGAATTTTCTGTGGCAGGTGAGTCTGCTCCATTCCCCATCCTCTGTTCTCCATTCTGTAAGATGGTGACTATGTGCCAGAGATTCCATCCCTGCTAGAACATCCCTTATCTCTATTCTCAGTCTGCTCTTAAGCTTGCTTTGCAGATAAAGCACCCACAGTGAGGTATGGGAGTGGGAGCAAGTACCATTGTGTAGGGGAACTTAGTAACTGACAGATGTGATGTGTCCACTCAGAAGCGATGGACTCCTTAGTAAATGGTACTAGGACAATTGGCCATTTGAATGAAAAAAGAAAAAATTAGATTTTCTTGCTCCCACCTTACAAAAGATCCCAGCAGATGATCAGCACTGAGCTTTGGGCTAAGAAAAAACACCTACCCTTCTATTAACTGCATAATGGGAATGTAGCCTGGGGTAGGAGGAATTTGAGAACCAGGAAATGCAACAGAGAGAACTAGAACAGAATAAGAGCTCTGTGGTCTTCAAAGTCATCAGAAAAATGACAGATGGGCACTGCCCCAGTGGCTAAAGCAACCTGAGTTAAAGAACCTGAGAGAAGACCATTACAGAGAAGGGATGGAGCACAGGAAAGGTATATGCCACCACACTTGTCAGGTACTGCACAGATAATTCCTAGGAGGTCACAAACCCTGTTGAAAAGTGGCAGAAACCAGTCTGGTGCCCTCACAGCCGATATGAGGGACCCCAAGAAGGCAAAATGTTGAGTGAGGTTCTTGAGGGAAAAAGGCAGGTGACAATATCAAGGTAGGAAAGGAATGTGTCTTAGCAGCAAGAGCAAACTTCTGTTGTTGGAGATAGCATTCCCCCAGACTTCTTAACTCCTCTCTCAGACCCTGGACTACCAATCACCAATACTTTTCCGGTCTACGCTTCTCAATGCCAGCTCTCCAGCACAGCATTTTGGACCTCGACTGCTGTCGCCGGACCCGTCTCTCTTCTACAGCCCACCAGCCTCGGCCTCATGTTCCCTTAGGTTCAGGTAGGGGTTCAGGGTACCAAGGCCTCTAGCATCCAGGATAGGCTGAGTTCTCTCTGAAGGTCCCATGTGGTAGCAATTAAGGGGTGGGTGGGTGCTACAAAAAAATGTTTTATAGAATTTTAGTAACAGGAATCTAATAGTCCAATCTCTCCCCTCACAGATGAGGAAAATGGAGGTCCAGGGAGATTTAAAATAATTCATTCAAGGACAGCTTGCATAGTAGAACCAAGACTGCAACTTAGAACTCCAAACACTTAGTCCAGAAGGTTCTGCACTGTGCCAAGGAGATTTCCTGTAGACAAATTTCAGAGAAATATATTTTGGAGGGGAACATGAGCCCTGCTGAGCTAGGATTTTGGTTCATGGAGCTGACTTGCTGACTTTGGAGGGGCACATAAGCAGATAGGACATCCCTTAGATGGCCAGCTGAAGGTACTAGAGGCTAAATGAATTCAGAGTAATTGAGTTTTCTTCCACCCATCAAGGTTTTTTGTTTTTGTTTTTAAAAAGTCTCCCCAGTCATCTAACACAGCTCCATCCTTGGCACCAACGGATCTTGCAGCAGCAGCAGAGTGATCAAATGCTGAGGTAAAGCCTAGACAAAGAGCAGGGTTGAGGGGCCCTGTCTCCAAGCTGGGTATTCCCTTGTGGCCAGACATCTAGACCCCAAAGGCCCTGTATAATTAAGACTCATATTCTTGCCCACCTCTGTGTTCTGTCCCATCCCCACTCCCCCGAGAACTCCATTCCCTGCTCGTCACTCTTGGGAAGTTAATTGTTGTGCTAGGGGGAGGGGAGAGGGCAGCGTTAGTTCTAAATGTTATGCTTCTCTTGGTTTGAAGTCCCCCAACCAAGAAGCCTTGGTCTCAGCAGCCAGACCCCTATGCTAACCTCATGACTGGAAAAGAGAAGGAGTGGGTCATAAAAGTGCAAATGGTCCAGCTGCAGAGTGAGACCCCTCACTTGGACGACTATTACTATCAGGTGAGCCCCAGGGTGCTTGCCCCAGCCTCTGACCTTGGGGTCAAATGGGCTTAAATTCTGTGGGCCTTCTCTGTTCTCCTCTTCTCTAGGAGAGACAATCACATAGGGTAGGGGCCGTATTCCTTAAATTGACATCCCAGTCTCATTCCTCCTCTTCTCCTGCATGTCAGCCAAATGGGATTATTTATTTTTCCCCTAACACCCTAAGGTTTCCTCTCCTCCTTTTGCCAAGATTTACTCCTACTTAGTGTGGAAATATAGACGTTGCCTCCTTTGTACACTTTTGTTGGTCTTAGAAATGACTTGTTATAAATATTCAGCTCATCTTTTTATATCTAAAACATAAATAGTGGACTCAGTTTGTTAAATTGGACAAATAAGACCAGCAAACATTTTGACTCATATTTACCTGCTTCCTACTTCCCCTTTGTTTATGAGACAAAAGTCACTCATCACTTTTTGGGTTGTCTAGGCTGTTTCACTTTACTTCAACTTCCATGAGCCCCTTCTTTGAGGGTCCCCACCTTGATTTCTATTTATATTTCTTTTCCACCAAGCTTCAAATAATGCTTTCCTCTATCTGCCAGGATAGTGAAATGGTTCATTTTGTCCTCTTGCCTCTCCTGGCATTGCTCTTAAATGCAGATTTATGCAAGTCCTTGTTTGATTCACATTTAGCTGCTTCATTTTAGCTTGAGATGTTTCAGCTCTATTTAAGACATTAGAGCTGGTGAAAAAATCCACAGAAATATAAAACTGTCCTAGAGGCTAATTGACAAATACATCCCTAGTGCTAGTTCTGTATCTCAAGCTGCTGGTGTTCTTCATGCCATAATTCCAATTTTGAAAAGCAAAAGATTACAAAAAAAAAAAAAAAGGATTACAAAAAAATGGAGCTGGGGGGCATAAGTGGTGTGTGGGACAGGTGTATACTTGGAAATGAGAAATTGCAAGAAGCTTACAAATTCTGCAACAGGTTTGCTTTCCTGGTCCTCTACTTTGCTCCCTTGACCTGTCAACAGATCTGGTGGTGGTATCTAGCTCTTATCAGCCCTTGGGAAACCCAAGACAGGTGACACGGGAGCTATGTTGCTTAAAATACTTTAGAATGATTGCTGGAAGTGCCCGAGATTCCAGGATTATTTCTAGAATGAATGCTGTAGGAAAAAAAGCATTGTTAAGAGGTTGCATTTGATAACTCTATGTTCAGAAGATGAGTATATCTTTTTCTACTCTATCTATGGATCCTCAGGAATATTATCAGAAACTAGAGAAGCAGGCAGATGAAGAGCTACTTGGACAGAGGAGTAGGGTCGAATCCCTCAAACTGGAAACTCCTTATATTCAGAAAGCAGAGGCTTACGAGTCAGGTAGGACCAGGGTTCACCTGCTGGACTGAACATCCAGGGTGGATGGAGAATGAGAAGGGGAAGAGAATATGCCTAGTTGGACTTCTTTCTTGTAGTGGTTCGAATTGAGGGTTCCTTGGGCCAGGTAGCCATATCAACGTGTTTTAGCCCTCGCCGAGCTATAGATGCTGTGCCTCATGGAACTCAAGAGCAGGTAGGAGCATTAAATCCTATGAACTACTTTTCTCTTATTTTGGGGGATGGTCTGCAGCACTTTCCTGTTTTGAGTTCAGATTGTGACCTAAGAATGTGAAGAAGTCTGATCAGACTTTGGGTCTAGCCTTTCCAACTAAATTGGCCCTTGCCTAATGCCCCGGGCTGTTACTTTTCTTCTAGGATACAGGGGCTGCAAACAGTCAGAGGCTTCGGGTATTATATCGGATTGAGAAGGTGAGATATCAGATCCTTAGGGATAAGTTCCTAACTTAGCTTTGACAATAGGATATTCAAATTTATCTTTTTCTTCTTTCCCCACTCTTAAATTCCCAGATGTTCCTTCAGTTACTAGAGATAGAGAAGGGCCAGAAAGATGGATCACCACAGCCCTGGTCCTCCAAGAAACAGGCTGAGAAGCTCTTCCAAACCTTGGTGACCCAGGAGCAGAATAACCTGGAGTGAGTATGGGAGGGCCTCACCTTGACACAGGAAGGGAAGGATAAGCAAAGAAGCTTTGCTTCTGCTCTCTTCTCTGGCATGTAACACTCTTCCTCTATACAGAAATCTTTTGAAAAATGCCATCTTGTCTCTTTTGTAGGGAGGCAACAGATGGCTTCCTGCAGGTGCTCTCTGTGAGGAAAGGAAAAGCTCTGGTGGCCCGGCTGCTCCCCCTCCTGCCCCATGATCGGGCTGTTAGCCTTCTTCTGGCTATCACCCACCATCTACCCTTCCTGGTCCGGAGGGATGGGGCTGATCAGGTACTATGGAATTGTGTGGAGAAAGAGGATGGGTTTTAGGGATCTTTCCTCTCTACTACTCTGAGATGCCAGAGAAGGTGCAAGATGGTGAGGGGGAGCTGCAGAACAGCCTCCTATAGGAATTGTTTGTTTGTTTGTTTTTAATATTTCCCCAGGCATGATGAGCAAAAGAAAACGGGTCTGTTGTGCAGGTTTGAGAAAATAAGGGCTCCCTAGTAAGTGTTAGGAGCTCTGGTAGCATAGTGGCTAAGGCACTTGACTGCTAAACAGAAGGCTGGCGGTTCAAACCCACCAGCCACTCCTCGGAAGGAAGATGGGGCAATCTACTTTCGTAGTGATACTGCCTCGGAAACCCAAGGAGGGGTCGCTATGAGTCGGGTCAGGTCTGACTCGATGGCACATAACAACAACAAGTAAGTGTTGAGCCTCATATCTTTCTTAGGGAAGGCATCCTGAACAAGTGGGTGTTGAAGGGGACCCAGTGTTAGGGATGGAGACACATGAATAGTGGTTGGCTTGGTAAGTAAGGGAGGTTAGCAAGGGAAGAGATTGAAGCTAAAGTAGGATGAGGTGAAGTTGTAGTGCAATTTGAGAGGTTCTTACTACCTTCTTGCAGGCCCTACACATGTTATTCAAACCTCTGGGCAAATGTATTAGTCACTTGACCTTCCGTGAACTCTTGCAAGGGCTTCAAGGACTAATGCGGCTACCACCAGCCTCCTCAGAGAGGCCAGTCACTGTGGTGCTTCAGAATCAGGTAATACACCTGAGGGACTTTGTCTCCTAGATAGCTTCCAGGTGATATCACTGGTAAGTAATAACTGAGGGAATGTTCTCTCCTCTCTGCACAATTCTTAATGCTCTGCAGTGCTTCTTCCAACGAGCACCAGGATCACCTGGATAACTTATTATACACAAGTTCTTTGGCCCCATCCCTAGAGATTCTTATTCAGTAGGTCTGAGGTGGGGGTCATGCATTTGCCTTTCTAGCAAGCTCCCTGATGATACTGGTGTGTAGACCACACTTTGATTAGGACTGCTCTAGAGCAGAAGGATCCAAACATCTTTGATTCAGTATTCCTTTTAAGACAACCGAATGCTTAGGGTGAACTAATTTTATCCTGGACTATGTATCCCTTGCAGTTTGGAATATCTTTGCTCTATGCCCTGCTGAGTCATGGGGAACAGCTGGTATCTCTGGATTCTTCCCTAGAGGAGCCAAAGAGTAACCGTACAGCTTGGTAAGATCATAAAGGCCTTGAAGGTAGAAATGGCACAGCTGTAGCTTTCTTGTTTTTGTTGTGTTCCCCCCTCCCCGTAGTGCCCTAAAAGGACTTCTGGTGGTGCAGTGCCTAAGCATTTGATTGTTAACCAGAAGGTTGGCAGTTCAAACCCTCCGACCACTCCGTGGAAGGAAGATGGGGCAATCTACTTCTGTAAAGATTTATCACCTTATAAACCCAATGGAGGTTACTATGAGCCAAAATTGATTCAATGGTAGTGGGTTTGGTGGGGTTTTTTTGCTTGTTTATAGTGCCTTAGACTATTGGTTTCTCGTAAGAGGTAGTATAACATAGTAATAAAGGGGACAATCTTTAGAGTCAAACTTAGGTTTGAATTCTGATCTGTTCCTAGCAATATAACTTTTGAGAAGTTATTTCACTTTTCTTAGCCTGTTCCCTCATTTATACCCTAGAGATGATTATACCAATCCTTTAGAGTTCTTAATATAGACGGTATGTAAGATTTAAATAAGGAAAACGTGTGAAGCACTATGCGCCTGGCACACACCAAACACGTAAAATGTTTCCTCTTAATTGCTGTGTCTATAGTTTTGTTGTTGTTGTTGTTTTTGAGTTCACCTGATAATAAGGAACCTTTGCCTTGAGCCTCGAATATCTACTTAACTACAAAGACTACTTAGGGAATGACAATTTATATTACTTACCTCTGATATTTCTTCTCTGTTCTCCAGGACAAACATGGTGGTTTTGATTGCCTGGGAAATAGCTCAAATGCCTACAGCCTCTCTGGCAGAACCCATAGCCTTCCCCAGCAACCTCCTTCCCCTGTTCTGTCACCATGTAGACAAACAATTGGTACAATAGCTGGAAGTCAGGATGGAGTAAGTGATGGCAGAAACAAGATTACAGCCCCTTGTTCAAGTCTAATCTAGGTCTATCATTCCCCTGTCTGCTACTTTCTTTTGAACTATTAGGATGGAGAATAAATTGCTTTTAGAAATAGTCCTAGAACCCCTATTTACTCAGAGTAACCAGTTTGGCCTAAATTAGGGTCTTGTGGCCAAGCCTTTTATTTTCAGGCACTTTGGTTATTTTTCATGTTAATCTATTTGAAGGCAAGAATTGGAGAAACTGAATTATTCATTCACTCAGATACTTGAGCACTGACTATCCCAGGATATAAATATGAACAACATGGAAGTGTTTTTGTTTTTTACTTTTTGTGATTCGGGTGAAAGAAGGTTGTTTTAAAAATGGAACTGTTTTTGCGTTTAACACCTTTGTTCTCTTTGTAGACTTGCCAGGACCTACTGATATGGTTTTCTGGAATATGCCTATGTGGGAAGTTTATCAAACACTATCTGTATGAGCTATATCTATGGGGATCCAGAAAAAGAATCTCAAGACATTTCTTATGACTTGATGTATTGGAGGACACTGCCTAAAATATTTACATGTTTCTGCAAAAACCTGTATGATATGCCTTAAAACCAGACATGGCAAAATAAAGTATAATTAAAGAAATAATAATGTGTTGAAACTTGTTTGTAAGAAGCTATAATGGGGGTCATCTGTTTTCTTACCTGTGAATGCTCCAAGCATTTTGTACATAAGGGATAAGGTCTTGTTACATGTAACAAAAGCATGATCTTGGAAATTGTTTCAATATTATCATTCTTTCTATAAGAGAAAGTAGCTGAGCTAAGGTTGGATATAAATAATTTCCTTGGGATAGAAAATGTTTGGTTTCATTTTGACAAATGAGTTCATGCATTTATCAACAAACACTGGAATGTCTTTTACAAATCACACAATGTTAGGTCCTACAGTAACAGCAGTTAACAACAACCAAGTCTCTGCTCTTTTGAAGTTTGTATTCTGAATGCATATAAGCCAAACCAAACCAAACTCATTGCCATGGAGTCAGAGCCAACTCATAGCGACCCCTCCTTGGGTTTCTGAGGTGGTATCACTACGGAAGTAGATTGCCCAATCTTCCTTCTGAGGAGTGGCTGTTGGGTTTGAACTGCCAGCCTTCTGGTTAGCAGCCAAATGCCTTAGGCACTACACCACCAGAGTGAATGTGTATAGACTGATATAGAATATCATAGTGATAACATACTGTGGTGAAAACAAAACTATGTGATAAGAATGACGAGAGAGAAGACTTTACGTTGAGTGGTTGAGGAAGGCCTATTAATGGAGGTTATATTTAAGCTGAGATGAACAATAAGCCAAGCCTAAGATGGGGTGGGATAGGGTGGTGAGTATTTCAAAGTCACAAAGTGAGAATGAACTCTGGTATCTTTCAAAAAAGAGGTGTGGTTGAGGTACACAGATTAAGGAAGAAGGTTGGTGAGGTGAGAGAGGGAGGCAGGGACTAGATCCATAAGCCATTAAAAAAAATCTGGATTTTTAACTGTGATTAGAAGTCACCAGAAGATTTTAAACAGGAAAATGTCAAGATGTGAGTTTTAAAATTGTCTTGCTGAATTGTTAGGGGAACAAGAGAGGAAGCAGAGAGGGGAAAAATGTTTGGAAGCAATTCAACAGTCCAGGCAAGAAATGGGGGGCAGTGGTAATAAAAAGTGGAGAAGAAATTTGGAATATATCTTGGAAGACAAGTTGACTTGAGATTGCTGATGAGCTGGAAGTGGATGATGGTGGTTAAGAATCAAAGATGACTCCAGATTTTTGAGGTGGGAAAGATTAGGAGAAAAATGGGTTTGTGGAGAATTAGGCCTCAAATATATAGGTAGTTAAACACAAGCCTGGAGATGAAGGAAAAGGTCCAGGGATAAAGACACAAAAGTGTTATCAGCATGTAAACAGTATTTTAAGCCAGGGGAATGCAAGAAGTTATGTAGGAAGAAAAGCTAACATAGGAGACTGAGGAGTTATCAGTGAGATTGGAAGAACAGGCACATGGTGTTACTGAAGTTGAAATGAAAGTACTTTGTGATAGGAGTGATTAACTGTGAAAACTGGTGACTCCTTGTAACAATACGATCATTGGAAACTTCAGGGGGCAGTTTTGGTGGGTTAGTAGAGATGGTAGCCTGATTTTAGAGGGTTTTAGGTGAGAATGGAGGTAAAGGAAGAGGGAGTACAGGAAGATTCAACTTAGAATTTTGCTAAAATGGAAGCAAAGAAACTTGGTAATAGAGTAGTGGTCAATATAGATTTAGGAATGATTTTCACTTAAGATGGACAAGCTTACAGCATGTCTGTTAATGAAAGCACTCCACTAAAGAGGGAGAAAGCAATGTACGGCGGCTTGTGGGGGGAGATTATTTGACAGAAACAAAGCCCCAGAAACTGAGGAGGATAGCAACCAAAACACAAATGTAGAAGTTGGCTTTTCACAGACTTGTGCTCCTATCTAACTGGAAAAGAATGTGTTGGTTGGAAAGGAACTACTGTCTCTTAGACCTTTTCCAAAATGACTTTTCCACACGTCTTTGCTGATCTTGGATCATCCTTCCCTGAGAAAACAGAAGTAATGAAATGAGCTCCTCCACCTCTTCTCTCTTCCTGTTGCAATGGATGTCCTTTGACTGCATTCAGGTCAATATCCTCCTGATAGATCAGGACAGTAAGACCTGGTCCATGCTACCAAGGGAATTACCGCTACCCCAGAGCCTGTAAACAACCTTTTTTCCGAGGAGTGGCTGGTGGGTTTGAACCGCCAACCTTCTGGTTAGCAGTTAAGTGCCTTTGGCACTACGCTACCAGAAATCCTAATAGGACAGTAAGAAGCTGGAAACCTCTTTTTGGGTTTTCCCAAAATGTATGACAGAAATAGAAGGCAGCTAGATGAAGGCCAAGGATAATGCCACAGACAGTTGCAGAGAACTGCAGACCTTCAAGAATTTCAGGATAGCTAAGAATGGTCCCTTCTTACAACTGTTTTAAGAAGGGACCATTCCCTGGAGAAGGATGTCATGCTTGGTAGGGTGGAGGGTCGACCAAAGAGGGGGAGACCTTCAAGGAGATGGATTGATACCGTGGCTGCGATGATGGGCTCAAGTATAGCAGGGATTGTGGGGCTGGCGCGGGCTCGGGCAGTGTTTCGTTCTGCTGTGCATGGGGTGGCTATGAGTCGGAAACGACTCGATGGCACTTAACAACAACAACAACAACAAGAATGGGCCTGGTGAAAGCAGATGTGGTATTGGGCCAGTTAGAAGACTACTGCAACCACTCAAAGAACAGTTGGAAGACCCAAGTTAAAGGAGTGGCAGTGAGGGCACCAAGGAAAACATACTGTAAGTACCTGGGTTACCAGGTCAGACAATTCATACTTGCTCTTTAATGTTATGTGAATTGGCCCTCACTTTGAAAGAACTGAACCAACCTCTACTTGCAAATTCTTAATAATCACCTTCGCTTGCTGCACTTACAGCTTTTAAATCATGGAGAAGGCTTCAGGACTTTTCTTGCACTGAAAAATAAACTTACTGCCATTGAGCCAATTCCAACTCATAGTGACCATATAAGACAGAGTAGAACTGCCCAATAGGATTTTCAAGCTGTAAATCTTTAAGACACAGACTGCCTCATCCTTTTTCCCGTGGAGTGGCTGGTGGGTTTGAATCGCCAAGCTTTTGAGTTAGCAGCCAAATGCTTAAATCACAGAGCCACCAGAGCTCCTTTCTTGCACTAGAGACTAAATAGCCACAAACACCTGTTTCCACTGACCTACAAATTGGACCTAAAGACACTTCAGAGCAGATCTACTTCTAACCCGGGATTGCCTGGGTTATACTGTGGACTGTGAAGCTTTCTGACCTACTCCCGTAGAACGCTTCTGGGGCTGCTACCGCCCCCCATAGGCAGGAAAAGGTAAGTAGCCAGAGAGAACTCAGACGTCCCAGCGAGAGTCACGAGACTCCTCATGAGCCACGAGACGCCGCGTGAGCCGACAGACTAACGCGCATGCCTAGGGTCGCGCCCTGGTGCTTACGCTCAGGATCCAGGCGGATCCGGCGCAGGTGACCGGAAGGAACTGCAGGACCAAGATGGCTGCAGCAGAGGTCTCTGGAAGTGCTCGCACCGCTGGCGGTAGCTGCAGCTCAGAGGCCATGGAGCGGGTCCTGCCCATGTTGCTTGTGCCGATCCCCGCTGAAGCAACGGGGCAGCTGGGATCCCGGGCACAGCTGCATGGAGATCAGGAGGTTCTGGGGAGCCTAACGGCTGCGGGCAGCCTCCAAGTGCTTTCCTTGGCGCCGGGTGCCCGGGGCGGGGGCGGCTGCTGCCTGGGGGGCCCGTTTCAGCAGTAAGTGCCATAGGAGGGCATGACAGTGTGGGGGAGTCTGGAATCTTAGTTTGGCTGGTATCCCCTGATGAGTCACTCCTGGCACAGGGGTGGCGGGAGAGAGCGACAGCAGTTGGAAACGCTTCAGACGCGACCCACTTCTCTCTCAGAACTTTTTCCGGGGCCTCGGTGCCAGGCTGGTCTTGTTGCATCCCCACTTCCCTGTTTTGAATAGGCGAAGACGAAGGCAGAATGGGCATCTGCTTCGGCGTGCAGTTTTTCATTCATTGAACACACGTTGATTAATTGCCGTGCGCCATGCGCATATTCTTTCAACTAACTCAAAAATGCCAGCTGGGGATCGTCTCTTACTTGAGTCATTCTCATACCCTCTTTTTGTCACGTTTCACATATGGACTTTTGTTTTCTCTCAGTGACCAAGTCTAATTTGTTTATCCACTTACCTGTTTATTCAAAATTATTTATCATGCACCTACTGTTAGCTAAGTTGTTGTTGTTATGTGCCGTGGAGTCGGCCCTGACTCATAGCGACCCCTCCTTGGGTTTCCGAGGCAGTATCACTACGTAAGTAGAATTGCCCAACCTTCCTTCCGAGGAGTGGCTGGTGGGTTTGAACCGCCAGCCTTCTGGTTAGCAGTAGAGCACTGTCTAAAAGGCTGAATAATAAGACAGTTCTTACCCACGAGGGGCTCACATGAGTTGAGAAGACCAGTGATAATAATTACAACATAATGCATTACTTTCCTCTTCTGTAACTCTTGTTGAGGACTTAGAGTTTACGTCATAATCAGTGAATGATTTCACCTGTTGTGTGTCTTGCTTATTCCTGATCTCTAGTTGCCAGGAAAAGGAATTTCCCCATGGGGGAAGTTAGTGTATTCAGCAGCATTAAGTATGTCTGAACACAGCCTGTAAAGAAAGGAATGGGCAGAGAGAGAAAAGAAGAGCTCTTTTAGGTGTTTGAGAACCTAACACACACACTTGAAATAATGGAGCATTCATACATGAAATTAGTGGAGGGGAAAGGATCACAGGGGATTTTTTATTTGAATTGAATTTTAATTCAATTAAAATATTTCTTAGAGGACAAATTCTTAGTATTCAGGATTTATTTGCTACTTTTCTCAAAGTATAAACTTTTTTTTAATGTTGAAATCACTGTACATTTTATATTATGTTCTTTTCATTGAAAATTTCCTCTCTTTCCATGTGGCAAAATAGTCCATGCTCTAATGATTTTAATGATATCACAATATTCTGTCTTTTAAATATGTTTTAACTTGTATACCTTTTCCATATTTGACATTTAGGTTATTTTCCACATTTTCAGCGTAAGCAGTCAGGAATTGAGTGTTCACAAAAATTCATCAGATATAGACAGGCATGTAAAATGTGTCAGTCTTTTTTTCTAGTAAGAACTCAGTCACACCAAGTCCAATTTTTTTTGAGCCTGGTATAAAACTTAATACTTAGCTGTACCTTCTGTAGAAAAAAGAAGCTTTGAAGATGATGAAACTTTATCAGCATGCTAGCCCATCTCATTCTATTGTGGTGTTTTCAGATTTGAGGCCCTTTTATTTTTTAAATTTAATTTCATTATTTAATTAGATGCTGTTGGATCATTAGTCTTTCCATCCCTGTTAAACAGTATTGGTATTTTGATATTATAATTTAAAAATCCTCTTACTGCACTGTCCAGTATGATAGCCATTAGCTACAGGTGGCTGATCAAATTGAATAAAATGAAAAATTCAGTTTCTCACTAATGCTATCTAGATTTCAAATGGTCAATAGCTGCATGTGGCTATTGACTACTTTCATTAGGCAGTGCAAGTATGGAACATACCCATCATCATAGAAAGTTCTATTTTAGATGTACTTTCTGAATATAAATAATCACTTTTTTTTTAAGTCTTTGAAAGCATTTAAGTTTGCAAAAGCCTATTTTGTTCATTGTAAACACCACCTCATATAGATTGCTGACACTTATCCTTGATTGTGACAATTCTTTTAAACATTACAGTTAGGATTTAAGAGGATGAAAAAGAGGAGCTGTCCTTTCTTGATCTGAGGTCCCTTTCTCTTCACCACTTACTCTATAATGTTGCCTTGAAATGGATAAGTTAGAGAGGAAGAAATGAGGAAGAGGAAGATGGAAAAGGAGTAATTCCCAAGAGCAGTTTCTAGCGTCTTAAGCTGGAGTGTAGAATTCTACCTGATGAACTAAAGAGCTGTTCTCTATTCACCCTCGCTATTATGGGTGAATGTTACTGTGGATATAACCAAAACCAAACCAAACTCACTGCCATTGAGTCAATACCAACTCATAGCAACCCCCTTTGGGTTTGAGGTGGTAAATCTGTATGGGAGTAGATTGCTCATTCTTCCTTCTGCGGAGTGGCTGGTGGGTTTCAACTGCCAGCCTTCTGGTTAGCAGTCAAATGCGTTAGGCACTACACCATCAGAGCTCTTTACTGGGTATATCAAAAACCAAACTCACTGCCGTCGAGTCGAATCTGACTCATAGCGACCCCTTCTTGGGTTTCTGAGGCAGTATCTTTACAGAAGTAGATTGCCCAATCTTCCTTTTAAATAAATAATCTAAACTTGTCTTTTCTTTAGATTTGTATGGGAGAGTTCTAACAGCAGTACACCAACAGATAAGCCCAAATTGCTAACACTTAGTGAAGCATATGAGTTGTTCATCTATGAATTTAATTTGGAAGATGGAAGATGTGATGCAACCATTTTGTATAGCTGTAATGGGGAGACATTACAAAATCTCATTGAAGATCAAAGTATCAGTAAGTTTCTACAGGTGGTATTTCATCATGTTTAAATTTGTAACATTACTAGGTAATTTTATATGTTGCAGGAAAAGTTCTTATAGAGATAAAATCAGGGAAAGGTTCATCTAGATTTACATTGTCCAGTACAACAGCCACTAGTTTCATAGGACTGTAGAGCGCTTGAACTGTGGTTAGTACAAATTAAGATATAATTTGATATATAAAATGTCACTTAGTATATAAAAAATATATTAATAATTTTTCATATTATATATTGAAGTGATCATATTTTTGGTATTTAGATTCAATATTATATATTATATAATACTTAGATTCAATATTATGTATTTTTAAAACTAATTTTACCTGCTGCTTTTTACTTTTTTTGTTGTAGTTACTAGAAAATTGTAAGTTATATATATATGTCTTTCATTTGTGGCTCACATTATTTTCTGTCGGGCAATCCTGATACAGACTGGTTACAGAACTGTTGACTGTGTCTCAGCCTGATGACTGAAGGAGCAGAAATCAGTGCGCTCAGGCTTCTAATTTTAAAGCAGTAGCAAATTCAACCTCTCTTGATCTGTAGGGTTCCTTCTTTTCCTTTTTTGGGAAAAACAAAAAACAAAAACAAAACCTCTTGATGGCTCTTGTGGAGCCCCATGGATAAGCATACTTCTTTTTTTCATTCTGATATGCTATCAGATTCTGGGCACAAATGGAAGGAACAGAGATATTATAGACTGTCTTTATTCATCCTTATCCCCCCTCCCAATATACCTTGATTAGGTGAGTGTGAATTGCCTAGAGTTGGACTTAGTGATGTTTCTTTTTTTCTTTTTCCTGTTTGTGTTATGTTCACAAAATCACATTTACCAGTTACAAAATTGTGACCGAGTTTGACATAATATCCTTTTGTTTCACAGGTAGTTCTTCATCATCTTTGCGAATTCTGTCATATCACAATAACACATCATTATTGTTCATCAATAAATGTGTTGTCCTGCACATTCTATTTCCTGAAAGAGATGCTGAGATTAGAGTCCTCAACTGTTTCACATTACCCTTGCCTGCACAGGCAGTGGACGGAATTATTGACACACAGTTATGCAGAGGAGTTCTTTTTCTTTTGAATAGTTTAGGCTGGATATGTATCCTTGGTGGTGGTAAAGGTGATAAAGATGTTGTTTGAAAATATATAGGAGGAGGAGTAGAGTGGGGAAATTGATTAGTTTGTTTTCAGTAAAGTTTTTCAGGGTAAAAGATCTTCATGTATTTAAAATATCCAGCTATATCACTTTATGTCTCATTTGTTTCTATATATATTTTTTCAATAGTTGTAATCATCATATCCATATTTGTTTTTGTTCTTGTAAAATTGTATATACTTTAATGTGTACTTGTTCCAGAAAGGATTTAGATGGCTATTTTTCTCATTTATGATGTGATACATAAATTTTCATTTATTGATATAATCCATCATTTATCGTCTCTAATGGTTTGCTAATATTCCATCATATTAATGAGTCATATTGTTTGCTTATTTATTATTAATTTGGCTCTGGAAAATATTATGGTTTCTCTGTGTCTATAGGTCATTAACAAAATTATTTTGAAGATTTAAAAAATGACTCCTTATATGAATTTTAGGAGCTCTGGTGGTGTGGTGCCTAAGGCATTTGACTGCTAACCAGAAGGCTGGTGGTTCAAACCCACCACCCACTCCTTGGAAGGAGAGTTGGGCAGTCTACTTCTGTAGTGATACTGCCTCAGAAACCCAAGGAAGGGTCACTATGAGTCGGATCCAACTGAGTTTGGTTTTTTATTTTTTTCCTGGTTATATGAATTTTGGACTTTCATTTCTGAATTAAAGGAATTGCTTGTCTATTTTAACTATGTCATATTCTGTATTAAAATTTATTTTGAAAAAATGTTATATTAGGTTAAATTCGGTTTAGTTGCCAGGTTATGGACCTACACTGTCTAACATGGTAACCACTAGGTACATGTGGCTACCCAGCATTTGAAATTGTGCTAGTGCTACTGAGGGACTGAATTTTTCATTTTATTTAGTTACTTTTGACTTAAAAACTGATACTCAGTTCAGTTATTGGAAAACTTTTAAGTATATTTGGAACAACCTTGGTTGTCCCAGCTTTTCAACTGTAAATATTTTGAAGTCTAAATACAAATCAGGTATTTATGATGAAAATTTAGCATCCATATTGAGATGTGTACTGTGAGGGTAAAATACAGACCAGATTTTGAAGACTTAGTACAGAAAAGGAGTGTAAATACTTCATTAATAATTGTTACATTGATTTACATGTTAAAATGATAATATTTTAGATATAATGGGTTACATGAATATTAGAATTAAGGTCACTAATTTCTTTTTACTTTTTTAAGGAGGCTACTAGAACATTTCTAATTACAGATGTGGTTTGTATTAGATTTCATTTGGATAGTGCTGTTGAAGAACATTGGTAGAAAATATTAGGAGTATCTCAGGGCCTGGCACAGAGTAGGTGTTAAAGTATTGTTTGTTGAATGAACTCTCTTACCAGGTTGATTATTGTCCAGCCAATTTTACACTGTGATGGGGCTGTCTCAATGTCCAGCCTACCTTCTGTTATTATACCTACAACACTGGAGTGATGAAGTCTATAGCTCTCTCCTGTCCTATGTTGTAAATGATTAGGCATATTTAAGACCAACGATTCTTTAACTCTAACTCAAAGATATTTTTGACATTGTGGATGGTACACAGGTAGCACATGTGGATTTAGCACTTCATCAAGAAGATACACGTAATGAGCAACAACAGGAGCCAGCCAAGATGTCTTCCTTTACTTCACTGAAAGTGTCTCGAGACCTTGATATTGTTGTGATTGTTAGCTCCTCCAACTCTGCAATTGCTCTTAACTTAAATTTGTATTTCAGGTATGTAGATTACTGCAATTTCTAATTGAGGCCAATAAGTAGAGCCATAAGAAGTTACAAATGTACTTGTTAGCTTTTTTTTTTTAAGTTCTCTTTTTTTGTTTAGTTAAATCACACTCTGGCCACTGCTTGGTGAGGTTTTTATTGTTCGGTAATGTATACAAATGTCCATCCACCACTCTTTTATTTCTGAATTTATATCAGAGTTTTTATTTTGCTTTATAGGTCTTTGTCATTATATATGGTTTATGCCATCACATTAAAATGCAAACAACCACAATTTAAAAATCCATTAATTGTTATACATTATCTACTTACCACATTAGAGTAGGAAAGATACACTGTTTGTCTTGTGTTAGAATTGCTTCTTGTGTAGCTTGGGCTCTTGCCTGCTTTGAGGATCACTTTTTTTTTTTTTTTTAGAGGACTTTGACAAGGAGTACTCAGCTAGCTTTCTTCAGCTATTTCCTAAGATGTTTTCTTTGGGGAAGGAGCTCTGGTGGCACCATGTTTAAGGCATTCAGTTGCTAACTAAAAAGGTCAGTGGTTCAAACCCACCAGCTATTCCATGGGAGAAAGATGAGGCAGTCTGCTTCAGTAAAGATTTATGACTTTAAAAACTCCGTGGGGCAGTTCTGTTCTGCCCTCTAAGGTCTCTATGAGTTGGAATCAACTCGATAGTGCTGAGTTTGGTTTGGATTTTTCTTTGAAGGGCCGACACTTACGGCTCTATAAATGTGTTATTAAAAACTGAGTGCTTATTTATATTGCTTTTTCATTTAGATATTCTTGTTGCTTCTGATTACTATTGTTTGAGATTTGTGCATGTATATTTGTAAGTACATGTGTGGATATACACAGCTGCATGTTGCAACTTGCTTATCTAAGAGTAGGCCAGTCCACATTTAGGACAGGACTTTTAATATTTAGGGCCATGCAAAACCATTACAATTTTTGGTTCTAACTTACTATGAATGTGATAAACAAATCCTTGAGTAATAAGGATAGGTTTTATTGCTTATTGTTTGGATCATAGGTGAAATTCACCTTCACATACCTATCAGATCTCTTTATAACTGAGTTGATGTTTTCATTGGCCTTTTAATGTTTTGTTATTTAACTTTTGAGCAAAGATGGATTCTGAGATTGTGTGCTTGTTTATCAGTAGGCTATTTTTCTTACTGACTAAAACATACCTCTTATGTGTGGGATTATCTCCTAGTCATTCACCTTGGAAGACAGTTTCACTGGTGAGGAAGGGAGGACAATCCACTCAGCTATGCTGAACCTTGAGTAAAGTTCTGCTCTTCTGGTTGGTTTGGCGATACTTGAGAACAGAGGAAGATGCAAGAAACATTCTCCTAAAAAAATTTCATTGAACTCAGCTACTGTACCATCAGCCAGGCAGAGCTAGTATTCTGTTCTCTATGGCATATTTAGGGATCTGTCCTGCCCAACTAAATGAGTGATCTGTTCTTTTAATTATTTATATGATAATTTTCTGGAGTTAATGGCGTGCTTTATTTTGAGGTCTCTAGTGCTGTTTTTGTCATTCCTGCCTCTTAGCCCTATCTCTTCTTTCCCTTGATATAGAACATCTGCCCTTTCTCTTTTTTTTTTTTTTTACCAAGTCTTGTTCATTCTTTGAGACCCAATTCAAAACTACCTCGTTAATGAAGCCTTTCCTTACTAAAACTCCTTCCACCTACAATTTTGTGCTCATTCCATAGTTTTCTTCTTCTTTGAACTTCTACAGCACTTCTGGTTTGAACCACAGTTCAGCACTTAATTTTGTAGTCTTGTATTTTCCTAATTTTTCATGTTGTATCAGCTTATAAGTTTCCTGAGAATCCATACCCATGGTAGCACCTCAACCGCCTTAAAATGGCAATGATTTAAAAAAAAAAAAAAAAAAAAAAAACACAACAGGTGTTGGCAAGGATGTGAAGAAATTGGAACCCTCATCTATTGCTAATTGTTGTTGTTGTTATGTGCCATCGAGTTGGACCCGACTCATAGCGACCCCTCCTTGGGTTTCCGAGGCAGTATCACTACGGAAGTAGATAGCCCAACCTTCCTTCAGAGGAATGGCTGGTGAGTTTGAACCACCAGTCTTCTGATAGCAGTCAAGTGCCTTAGGCACAATGCAAAATGGTACAGCCACTGTGGAAAAGAGTTTCGTGGTTCCTCAGAAAGTTAAACAAAAAACTACCAGATAACTCAGCAATTCCAATCTTAGCTGGTGGCGTAGTACCTAAGACATTTGACTGCTAACCAGAAGACTGATGGTTCAAACCCACCAGCCACTCCTTGGAAGGAAAACTGGGCAATCTACTTCCTTAGAGATACCACCTCGGAAACCCAAGGAGGGATCACTGTAAGTCAAAATGACTTGACAGCAGTAAGTTTGGGTTTTTTTTGGGTTTTTTTTTTTTGAGTGGCTTATAGAGCCCTGGTGGTTAGTGGTTAAGTACTCGGCTACTAATTGAAAGGTCAGCGGTTTGAACTCACCAGCTTCTGTGTGGAACAAACATGGCAGTCTGCTTCTGTAAAGATTACAGCCTTGAAAAACCTTATGGGGTAGTTCTGCTCTGTCCTATAGGGCTGCTGTGAGTTGGAATTGACAGCAGTGGAGGTTTTTAATGGCTAATGATGTTGAGCATCTTTTCATGTGCCTGTTGGCTATTGAAATACCCTCTTTGGTGAAAGAGTTCTTTGCCTGTTTTCTGGTTGGGTTATCTGTATTTTTGTTGTTAAATTGTAGAAGTTTTTATTATATATATTTTGGATATTAAACCCTTATCAGATACATTGTTTCTGAAAAGTTTTTCCCAGCCTGTCAGTTGTCTTTTCACTTATTTGATAAAGCTCTTTGATAAAAATACAGGTAGTCCCTGATTTATGACGAGTTTCCCTTTCCAGTGACTCTGTCTTAAGTGAGTGCTGGCATAAGTTGAATACCTAATTTTTTAAATGGTTTTCATTATTAGTATCTTATAAAGATTTATAAAATCCAATCTGTATTTGTCTTTGAAGATTGAAAACATTACATATAAACTTAGAGATATATTCTAATGCATTCATACATGCATAAATATTACTAACCATAAGATGTACCAAACCTGAAACAGGCAGTCATAAGTGTGATTTGTCATAAGGCAAATACATTGTAATTCAGAGGCTTCTTGTATTTAATTTTTATGAGATTCTGTTTATTTTGTCTTTAATTGCTCTATGTGTGTGTGTGTGTGTGTGTGTCTTATAATCCTTTGTTAAAAACTAGGTCCCACAGCCATACTCCTATATTTTCTTGGAATTTTATGATTTCAGTTTTCACATTTAGGTTCTTGATCCATTGTGAATTGATTTTTGTATATAGCGTGAAGGGTGGTTTCTGATTTATTCTTCTGCATGTACAGATCCAGTATCCCCACCACCATTTGTTGAAAAGACTCTTCTTTTCCCTATTAAATGGTGAAAATCAGTTGACCATGACTGTCCATTTTGTTGTTATGTGCCATCGAGTCGGGCCCGACTCATAGTGACCCCTCCTTGGGTTTCCGAGGCAGTATCACTACGGAAGTAGATTGCCCAACCTTCCTTACGAGGAGTGGCTGGTGGGTTTGAACTGCCAGCCTTCTGGTTAGCAGTCAAGTGCCTTAGGCACTAGGCTACCAGAGCTCCTAAATGAACTTTATGTGAATATTCTGGGGTTGTTGTTATGTGCCATCAAGTAACCCCCTCCTTGGGTTTCTGAGGCAGTATCACTACATAAGTAGATTTCCCAACCCTCCTTCCGAGGAGTGGCTGGTGGGTTTGAACCATCAGCCTTCTGGTTAGAAGTCAACTGCCTTAAGCACTATGCTACCAGAGCTCCTGGGGCAATAATGACATGAATTTGGGTTTGATTACCATTTTTTTTAATGTAGGCAATATCCAGGACACCTACTGTGTGAAAGAAGGCTAGAAGATCTTCCTATTCAAGGACCTAAAGGAGTAGATGAAGACGATCCTGTTAACTCTGACTATAACATGGAACTGACCAAGTTTTCTTTCCGAGTTGATAGGTACAGAAACAAGCTTTTGGATTTAGTTTATTTTCTTTGTTGTCATATAGACATAATTCCTTCTTGGTAAAGGTCTTTACAGAGGTAGATGCTTCTTTTTTCTTTTGAAAGAGAAAAAAAAAAAATGCCCTTGCCCTCATTTATTGTTTTACTTAGTGCCTTTCCCTGAACAGACTCCACCCTATCTTCCCAGGTCTTGGAAAGCTCAACTATCATCATTGAATGAAACAATAAAGAGGTCCAAACTGGAGGTGTCCCACTGTCCTCCATGGTTCCAGGATCTTTTGCATTTGGAATCTTCTGAATCTGGTAATTGTGGTACCAGTGTGCCAAGCTGGGCCTTCATTCCACAGGACACATGTGGCCTGTATAATTTTCCGTGGAAAGATGGTCATGCTAAGAGCTATCATCCAGGAAGTTCCTGGAAGATAATGAATGTCAGTGAACAAGAGGAACCCAGAGAGCTTGAATGTATGTCTGTGACAGGACTCACTGCATTGTTTATTCAGGCAGTGGAAAAGACAGGCTGTACCATTGTCCTATGGGATTTGGAGACAAAGGGCGTGCAGTATTTTCCCCTTGGCAAAAAATGTATTCCTGTAGAGAGTAATGGAGACCAGCAGCTGTGCCTAGTTTTGACAGGTGAGAATGCCTTTTATCAAGATTGTAATCCATTGCTGAGAGAGTACTTTATGAATGAATAGTAAAACCTGTGAAAGCCATCATGTGTATAAGGTGGGCACCTCCTGGAGAAAAAAAACTCAAGTATTTTCCACTAAAATGAATGATACAAAAATGGAAGACTGAAATGCTATCAAAGGCAGAAAACTTGCAAGATCCAGAAAAACAAAGCTCTTACAGGTTTGACTTTATTTGCCTCTGTTACCTTGGTGGTGCTCATGGCTGCTTTCACACCCAAGCCTAGTCTTTCATTAAAGAAATTTGGTGTCACTCTTGGTAACTGTGTTAGATTGGTTCTCTAGAGAAACACAAAAACCAGCAAAGCGTATATATAGAGAGAGAGAAAAAAAAAAAAAACTTTATCTTAGGAAAATGGCTCACAAACGTATAGAAGCCAGCAAGTCCAAAGTCCCTGGAGTAAACATCGGGCTGGCAGCAGCCTTAGCTTCCGCAAGCGCAGAGGGCCGAGAAATTCAAGGCTGGCAGGCAGTACACTGGTTGTTGACTCCAACAAAAAACGAATCCAGGATCTCCAGGCCAAGCAGTGGGCTGCTCACTCACGGAAGGTTGTAGTCATTACACCAGGGTCCTAATTCCTCAAAGAATGTCTCTCTTCCCAGGATGTCCCTGGATATCCTGGAAGCAGGCCACACCCCTAGGGAAACTCTCCTTGGGCAGATTGACCACTCAGAATACAGTCATCCGATCCCATCATGGGAACCACACAGAACTGGGGTCCAGCCAAGTTGACACACAGCTCCAGCTATCACAGTAACTTTGTCTCATGTTCAGTTTTTAATTAGTGTCATTTCTGCTCACCTAAATGCAAAGATACTAAATCAGACAATAAAGGTTGCTTCCAACCCAGAGACTCTTTACTTGACTTCAGTCTGTATAAACAGAGGTCATAAACTGGATGGTCATGGGCCATATGTTGAACTGCAGATTTATTTTGTTTGACTTGCACTACCTGTGCACATTCAAGGCCTTTTCTGAAAACTTGATTCATTTTAAAGTTGAAGAATTTCACAGAAAAGTCTGGATTTCCAGCTGTTACTGAAAAAATTTTAAGATCTGACACCATTGGACCTATATTCCTACAGGTCTGGACTTAAGTTTCAGTTGTTCTCTTTAGACCATTTTCTTTCCAGTTAGGTTTTTCTTGTACTTCCCTCACCACATGCTTGGCCCCCTAGGCATTTGGGTTTGATATATCACATATGCATTTATTCATTATTTGTGTCATCATGTTCTACAGAGATGTTGAAGGTTATGATTGAACTAACCATGCACTGCTGCTTCTTCAGTACCCACATTTTGGTAATCATGTATTTCTGTATGTCAGGAGCATGCTATTATTGTTTTACTTTAGTAAACCAGGAATCTGACATCTCTGTAAATGTTTAAAGAATCCAAGTATTGAGTGTACAAGATAAAGTAGAAATGTGGGGTTTAGTGCTATTTCATGAGATGCAGTGTTCTTAGTAGAATTTACCTTGTGGTTATCAATAAAATAAAACTTTTCTTTAAAAACATTGGAAAATCACAGTGAATTAAAGTCATAATAATATATTGTGTCCAATAAATATATTTGTAATTGTAGTGGTGAAGTATTAAGTAATTAGAAGCCTCACTAAGTCCTAATCGTTAATTAAAGCTAACTTTTCTTTTTCCTATAGAAAATGGACTCTCTCTGATTTTGTTTGGTTTGACTCAAGAGGAGTTTTTAAATAGACTAATGATCCATGGAAGTGCCAGCACCGTGGACTCTCTTTGTCATCTTAATGCTTGGGGGAGGTGCTCAATCCCCATACATGCACTAGAGGTAACACATTTAAATGTCTTGTTTTAAATAAATGTTAATTGTTTTTCTGTCACATGTTCTTATTTGACTGAGGATTTGGGAGAATTTCTTTAACTAACAACAAAAAGAACTAGTTTTAACCCATCTGGTTGCTCAGTTCTGACTATCTCATTACCCTCATTCTACTTAGCAGTTTATCCTGTTGATTGTTAAAAGATATAAGATTAATAATAAGGATTATTTAAGAAAGATAAAATTATGGGAAATGGAGTCAACAGTAAGCTGATGAGACAGATTAAAGGAAATAAAAGCAAGTTACAAAAAGCTGTAATAGGATTCTTCCTAACTTGGGAGCTCTGGTGGCATGATGCCTAAGGCATTTGACTGCTAACCCAGCAGCCACTCCTAGGAAGGAAGATTGGGCAGTCTACTTCTATAGTGATAACCACCTTGGAAACCCAAGGAAGGGTTGCTGTGAGTCAGATGTAACTTGACAGCAGTGAGGTTTTTTTTTTTTTTTTTTTTTTTGTACTCTTCTAATCCAGCTCTACAAGAGACATGAAATAACTTGAATATATATAGCATTTTACAAGTCACACTCTTTCACGTACATTATCTAATTTTGTCCTAAATAACCCCATGAGATGGGTTGGGTAGTGTTTAGTCCCAGGATGTCCATGTATATTGCAAGGTAAACATGTATATATCCCTAGGCCATACCCCTAGGGAAACTCCCTTTCAATGGATTGGCTGCTCAAAACATATACATCTGATCTCATCATGGGAATAACCACATCACAACTGTCTAAACCACTCAGAATTGTGGTCCAGCCAAGTTGACACACAACCCCAACTATCATAGTCATCCATGATGGGCAGGTTCCAGCAGAGCTTCCAGACTGAGGCAGACTCAGAAGAAGGAAGGAGCCATCTATTTCTCAAAGAATTGGCCAGTGAAAACTCATGAATAGCAGTGAAATACTGTCTTATGTATTACTGGAAAACTTTATGAATAGTCCTGAAACATTGTCTGATAGATACAGTCCACAAAGATGACCCCTCAGGTTGGAAGAGCTGCTTCCTTAAAGTAGGGTCGACCTTAGTGATGTAGATGGAGTAATGATTTCAGGACCTCCATTTGCTGATGTGGTATGACTCGAGAGGAAGGAATAGCTACGAACATCCATTAATAATTGGAATATGGAATGTACAAAATATGAATCTAGGAAAATTGGAAGTTGTCAAAAATGAAATGGAATGCATAAAGATCAGTAAACTAGGCATTAATGAGCTGAAATGGACTGGTTTTGGCCATTTTGAATCAGACAACCATGTGAACTACTAGGCCATGAATGACAAATTGAAGAGGAATGGCATGGCATTCATTGTCACAAAAAATGTTTCAAGATCTATCCTGAAGTGCCATCCTGTCAGTTTTAGGATAATATCCATATACCTACAAGGAAAACCAGTTAACACTATTACTATTTAAATTTACACACCTACCACCAAAGCCAAAGATGAGGAAATTGAAGATTTTTAGCAAGTTTTGCAGTCTGAAAATGACCAAACATGCAATCAAGCAAGATGTGTTGATTATTTCTGGTGATTGGAATGCAAAAATTGAAAACAAAGAAGAATCACCGGTAGTTGGAAAGTATGGCTTTGGTGATAGAAATGATGCCAGAATTGCATGATAGAATTTTGCGAGACTAATGATTTACTCATGGAAAATACCTTTTTTCAACAATATAAACAGTGGCTATGCACATGGACTTCACCAGATGGAGTACACAGGAATCAGATCAACTACATCTGTGGCAAGAGGTGATGGAGAAGCTCAATATCTTCACCCAAAACAAGGCCAAGAGCTGACTGTGGAACAGACAGTCAACTGCTCATATGCACATTCAAGTTGAAGCTGAAGACAATTAAAGTAGGTCCATAAGAGCTAAAATATGGCCTTGATTATATCCCTTCTGAATTTAGAGACCATCTAAAGAATAGATTGAGAATCCACATTCCAATAGGGCTAGGTTCGGCTTTCTTAAAAACGGAAGATACTACACAGATTTGTAATCTAAGAAAGTAAATATGGTTTGCTTTCAACAGGGGAAACAAGCAAACACACAAAAAGATGTGTTTGGACACTTCCGGTAAGATGGAGGAATAGGCAGACAAGTGACACAGACTCTCTTCAACAAAGAAAAGAAAAACCAATTCAGAAGATAATCCTGGAGCCCTGAGCTTTGAAAGGAACTATGCAGAAGTGGATTAGACACCAACTAGTGGAAAAACCTGAATGAAAACAGTGAGTACAGAGACGGTTAGAGCTGCGGACAGTCAGCTACTCTGACAGGACCAACAATCTCAGTATTTCCAAGTGGTGTTGGGCCCTGAGAATTGACCTAAAGATCAACCCTGGTCACCAGTGGCTGCAGGAACGACTGCACTGGTTGCCTATGACTAGGAAAGGAAACAGCAAGAAGGGAGACAACCTGAGCTGTTGACTTTCTGCTGTCAGAGGACACAGCCATTTTGATTGTTTGCATGTGGCAGCCATTTTGGATATTTAAAGTAACTGAGGGTGCAGCCATTTTGAATCTTTACAAGTGGCGACCATTTCGGATTTTAAAGTGATAGCATTCTCATTCGGATTCCAGGGGCCTAAGAATAGGCTTTGTTTGCCAAGGTTGACAGGGACATACCAGAAGCTGACGACAGGAAAGGAGACAGGTGGTGAGTGTATAGGTAATGTTAACTAGCAAATAGAGGAGCACAGCACCCTGCTTGCATAGATAACATACAAAGAAAACAAAGGAAACAAAAATTGTGGCAAGTCACCCCAAGATACAATCACCAATTAAATAAAAACACAAAAACATTACAATGCCTCGGAGACAATAGAGCATCACAGTCCACACAAAGAAGCAAGATAAAGCAGGAGAAACGGGACCATGATACAGACTTGAAACACATTCCTGAGGAAGATGCAGCACTGGAACTCCTTGATAAGGAATTCAAAAGAATTATATTTTGATATCTTCAACAAATTGAGAGACAGATCAAGGAAAACACAGAAAACCCTAGAACAATTTCAAAAGACAATACAAGAACAAAATGTCAAAATAAATGAAAAATTAGAAATGATACAAAATCTACACATAGAAATCCAAAAGATCAATACTAAATTTTAAGAAATAGATAAGACATTGAATGGACAAAGGAGCAGAATTCAATCAATGGAAGACAGAACTAGGGAGATTGAAGGCAAATACCTGAATGCTTCTTTGGAAAGGGATAAATCAGAAAAAAGATCAAGACAAAATGAAGAAAGCCTCAGGTTCGTGTGGGAATCCATCAAAAGTAATAACCTATGTGTCATCGGAATTCCAGAACAGGAAGAGAAAAATAAAACCACGGAGAAAATTGTCGAAGATTTGTTGGAAAAGAATTTTCCTTGTATGATGAAAGATGAGAATATATCCATTCAGGAAGTCCAACAAACTCTAAACAGGATAGACTCAAAAAGAAAACCACCCAGATATATCATCATCAAACTTACCAAAAGCAAAGACAAAGAAAAAATCATGAGAGCAGCACTGGAAAAACAAAATGTTACCTACAAGGGGCAACGAATAAGACTAAGCTTGGATTTCTCAGCAGAAACCATGCAGGCAAGAAGACAATGGGATCATATGTATAAAACCCTGAAAGATATACCTAGAAAACCCAAGAGATTCAATCAAAAAACTACTGGAACTAATTGAGGGATTTAGCAACGTCGCAGGATATAAGATCAACATCCAAAA